AGCGGATACAGATATACACTGATTTCCTATGCTGGGTAAATATACACCTCCCACCTTGATGCTACTCGCGACCAATAGTTTGGGAATCGCTGCCTTACGCGACACCTATAACTGCTTTTTTGCGTAGACGGTTAGAGGCTACGAGATGGAGCCTCAGCACGCACCTCACTCGCCTCGCACGGCCAGGGAGGTGGAATACTGGGAAGAAAGAAAAGAAAAAAAGAAGGGGAAAAGTAAAGCGAGATACGTAATCCCATTCTCTTCCCTCCTCTGCTCATTTCCCATCACTAGCGTGCCCAGAGTTTTTGCAAAATGGGACGGCCTTCGGTCATGGACCGCTCACCCTCGCTTTCATCTCGGTCGAAAAGTGACGTAATCAAGGACTCACTTTTGGAGTCTATGAGGGTTCCACGTTCCTCTCCCTCTAAAGAAGGAGGAAGGAATGTTGAGCTCATAGGGTGAAAGGAGGTTAAAGACTAATGAGTGAGGGGGAAGCACGCGTCCATCGATCCCAACGCCGATGCCTATAACGACAGAACCTATGAAATTATCTTTACCTCTAATTGATCTCCATGACAGCTCTCGCAAGTGATTGCACAGTAGAAAATAATCACGATCACCCTCCCCCCTTCCCTATAATCCGCCTCTGCATTCATGTCATGTTCTTGTTTCGACGCCATTCCTCTCTCTCTCCCTCTCTCTACATTCTCCAGTAACGCCATGATAAAAGGAGAATAACTTTTTGGCCCCTACGCTCATTCTCGTCCGGTTTCATTCCACCATCAAAGTACCCAAGTGCAAAAAAAAACTCAGCCGTTTAACTTCGCACTAACTCGGACATATTGTGGACTCTCCATAATCCACCCATCCCATATCCAGACCTGGATAATCTACAATCGTCCTGTCTTGAAATATGCATGCCCTGTGTGGCACAGTTTCTTAACATCGGAACAGGCAAATAATATTGAAAGGGTACAAAGGCGTGCTCTTCGTATTATTTTGAGCACAAAATATGACTATGAAGAGACTCTCAAAACCCTCGATCTGCCTACTCTGCACCAAAGGCGTCAAGGTCTTATCTTAAGGTATGGAATTATCCCTTCTCACTAACCCTCTCCGACGTCACACTCTTCCCTCCCTAAGACAACCTTGCCCTATGCAATAACGACATGACATACTCTCCCCTCTTGAAGAGTTTAGATGCCGCACGCAACGTTTCTACCGTTCCACCATCTCCTTCATCACCAGACTCACGAACGAAGCTTAATGAGACGGATTTCCTCCTCACACTTGCAGTATCCTTCAACTGTTCGTCCACTCTTTATCTCCCTCACTGTCGCTTGTGTGTTGCTTACGACGGGGTCCAATTTGCCCAGCACGAAACTTGAAGTGTTTCTGCATATTCTAGTTCATGTTTCACTTTTCTGTTTCTCAGCTGGGATGACGGTCTCATTGCAATTGAAGAAAAAATCAGCCAAAAAAGGTAACTGGGTTCGAATTTTAGTCCAACCGCAACGTTGAGATTGATGTTAAAATTCCAATGCGAAAGCTGTTTTGGTTCGCAGCGACTGCAAGCCGAGACCACAGTTCAATTTTGAGAAAACTGCAACCAAATTCCCATTTTTTAATCAGTCTAACTCTAGTAAACGAAGCCGCTCATACTACGGAAGGGAAACAAGGAGGTCTATCTGCAGATGGGAGCTTGAAAGCAAAATAGGGAAAGATATGCCAGAGCAACGAAGATCACGTCCACGGACAGATGAACGGACTGGGCAACTTTTCATCTCGTTTTTTACTTACGATTGAGATTTGATGAACGTGGTCTCCCATGCAGAAAAGAGCGGCTTCCGAGAATATGCGGCAACATGTACAAGATCGAATTAGTGATGCGGATTATGGCCGGAAAACAAAATATACAGAGTTGCTTTTTTTTTTTCAAGGCATACCGTAACCACTGAGGGTGGTGAAGGTGGTGATTTCTGACTCCCGATTCCATCCGAACCGGTTCTTGACTCGAACTTTGACATCGTAGATGGTAGCCTCCGTCAGGCCCTCGAGTGTGTAGGCCATCGAGTGCTGATAAGAAAACGACGAATTCGCCGGTATCGCGATCGTCGACCACGGCAGGCTCTCCGTCTCCTGTCCATCCACGAAAGAAGGCATGCTCAAGACTGACAATCTGTCATCCATCCATCCAATGGGTGAGCGCGGAGGGTCTCTCACGTTGTGTTTGCGGTACTCGAGCTCGTACGATTCGATGGGGCTGTAACTCTCCACTTCCCAGACGAGTCGATAGGAATTCGACTGATCTCCGTCAGGCTCCGACTTGAATTTCGCCTGATTGGCCACCCCTGTACCGAGGACAAGAAATAGGTATCATTACATGCATGATGTTCCATTTCGCCTGTAACTTGAAACACCTGCCAATGCACGATGTTCCTATCACCTGCAGCGTACCATCAACTGCTGAACCTTCTTCAACTTTTACGAACGTAGGACCTTGATGAGGACAGGTGCGGATACGATATCGAAACGGGAAAAAAACATTTATCGTCTCGAGTAATTGGTCGCGTTTCGGAAGGAAAGTTTCCTGAGGCTGACATATAACTGCCATTAGAAATACCGGTGAATGGAGAGGGAAGTAACTTCTGTCGGCAGATAATCACAGATGAAAAAAATCTGTTACCTCTAGTTCTAAGATAATATACCAAGTATCGAGGATGATTTCGGTGTGTGTGGAAAGCAGATGCTTCCATGGCCTTGTCGGAAGGTACTTCATTCGCGAGTCCTAAACGGGCACGAACAATGTGCTCATGAGAGAACCGGTCAGTTGCATCGAATTGCACCTGGGAAAAAAAAGTTCTCGGTAAGGGAAACCAACGGGGACGTCCTCGAAAAAGATGGAAACAGAGATGAAAGAGATCCAAGTTCAGTGATGTCATTCTCATTCTCATCGCATCCAATTATCGCCTTAACATCAAGTACGCGGACCCTTCCCTTCCAACAGACTCCCCATCACCCAAGCAAGGCCTGTTTCTTTTTTTTTGTTTCGGCTAGACAAACTTGGAGCTTTTCCCGTGATGTTGCCCACCCGTTCCCGGCCGTTCCTTTGTCGCGCCTGTCTGTCCTCACCCGATACTTCGATGCTCCCTTCCGTCTCCCCGAGCTCGTTCCAGGCCTTGCAGAAGTAGACGGAGAAATCCCCACGGCTCAGGTTCTTGATATCCAGGGTGTAGGTGTTCCCAATGTGCCACGTCACGGACGGATCCAGTGTAAACCTCTTTCCGTCTTCCATACGACGCTGCCATTCCACCTGCCAAAGGAAAATCACAGTGGATCGTCATTTTCGTCTCATTAACGAGGAGACCTTTGGTCGCTTGTGTCCCGGCAGGAACTTGTCCCCGAGGGGGTAGGGGGGGGGCATATAGGAGAAGAAAAATGATCTTTCCTCCACCTAATGATGGTGTCGTGTGGGTTCTGAAATACACTATCTCTTCCCTTTTCCCCGCACTCCATTGTTTTCACTTGTTTTCCCTCTTACTACCTGGTTACTTTTTCGTGGAATCTCTCGTCTCCCGTGTCTTGGAAACGATCCCGGAACGTTAAAAAGACGAATTTCTAGGCATTTGGTACAAGAGATGAGATGCCACAGCCTGTGCATAAAACTTGTCACATCGACCAATTACGGCGATTTATGGGTTACGGTATTTCAAGAAGCATCGCTTTCTCTCTGCAGGTCGTGACGTTACCCGATGGCACGAGGAAAATTCCATTCCGGTTCCGTCACCTCGAAGAGATAATCAATTTAATGGGTGGAGCACTGCCTCCGGTATCGATAGAAGGAGATTGGATTAAGTCATGAAAATCCATTATGTGAGACCTTCGAAAGTGATACGGCTTATCCGCGTGAAAATGGCGAAGGACCCCCCTCTACGTTCATAGAACCCCCCTCGACGTTGTGCCTCATGTGAGGCACAAGAGGAGAGATCGATTTTAAAAAAAATGGAAGGGTAAAAGCTTCACGGCAGGTTTTGGTCGAATGCCAGTCGACTTGGCAGGTCAATTTCACGGGCAACTTGGGGCTCGTTTGATGCCCGGATCCAGTTTCTCCCTGCCCGGCACAGAGAAACGACCGTCGTATGCAGCCTCGGAAATCAGATGATGGATTCGGATGAATGACAAGATGGGATTGCAGAGCAAAGCCAAACCCAAAGAGAACACTTGCCAAGATCGTGATGATCCTCTTATCATCTCATCTCCCTCGGAAGGCGGAGGAGGAACTCAATATCCACCCTTACCCGGCTGAGTCAAGAGCTCTCCTTCTAGAGTCTTAGGGTGGATTTTTGAACAGAGCACTATCCGATAATGCAGCTTTATTTCCAGGAAAATGCTCAATCATCAAAGAAGCGATTTTTGAACCGATCATTTTCCATAATGCTCCATTTCATTTAGACATCAGTTCGTGATTATAATATAGTATGTCCAGAGGTCCTCTTTTGTCGAAAATGTTGGATTATTTTCATCAGTCGCAATGGAAGGGCTGCATGAATTGCATCGTGTGCAATCGTATCGCCTCGTGTTAACCCCTTGACGCCGTATTTTTTCACAGAAAATTTGTTTTTCAGGTCTTCAATATTTTAACCCTTATCCGGTTTCCCACATAGAAATTCGACAAAAAATCGGATGACATACGCAGACGTGGGAAGTATAGTTAAGATGTTCTTCAAATTCCAACTGTGTCTTTAAAAACAAAAGGCGTCATGCTGGAAGCAGAGAAACTAAGAAAAATTTTTTCCATCACTTCCACTCTCCCAGATAGAGCCCTCCACTACTCCTCGTCGTCTTGCAGGGTGGTTCACGAAGAAATAAAATGCGACATGATGGCGAATTGCGTTTCATGTAACGATTCGTGTCGTGTTGAAAATAATCGAGGGTTATTATAATGGAGCATTGTCAAATGCAGCATTATCTAGCCAGTTCAAAAATTGAAAAAATTATGCTCCACTTCATAGAGCTGTATTATCCCATAGAACAGGATTATTTTAGAGCTTGGTTCAAAAATCCACCCTTACTCTTCTTCTCTGAAAGCTTTTTGTCCACGTGGCCTTGACCATGATGTCAAAGGGGTTTCATTCCGCTAGTCCCCCTTTTTCCTTATTCCAGACCGGACGAGCAAACCAATATAGGCGGGGAAACAATCGAGGGTAGACTTACAGTAGGCTTGGGGTCCCCTTGGATGTTGCAGGTGAGATTCACGTCGTTGCCCTCTCCAGAGTGGATCCAATCTTGATCCACGTGAATCTCCGGTGCATCTGCGATGAGAGAGGGAGGGGAAAAGAGAAATGATTCTGCAGGGTCACGTTCTTTCTTTTGTTGTCCCATTAGCGAGAAACAGTACTCCCTCATCCGAAATCCCTCATTAGATGGTCCTCTTTTTGTGTGAACCAAATAAGAAAAGAAGCACCCCGCGACAAGTGAAAGTCTTCCTTTCGAATTTTAACGAAGTCACTCGTCTCCAGATTGAAGGAGAACCGTCCCATTAAAAAACGTTCATTTCACTTTTGAGTGGATCACAATCGTGCTTCGATGAAACGTGGCATTATATTAAACTTCGGCATGGTGGCTACCGAGCATCCGAGCACCACGTGCGTGGGAATCGATTTTGGAGACGATTCGGTCAGTTGCAGGGAAATTCAATCATTCACGTGCGAAAACGGAACTTTCGAAGCGACACGAAGGGGGCTCGAATGGGAAAACACGTGAAACGATTCTTTAAGCATGGGATGGGAACGCCGGTACACCACAGAATGGTCCCACATTTACGATGACGTTCTACGAGGATTCAAGAAAAAACGGCACTAGAAACGAAGCAGCAAACCTCTACACCCGATGTCACAGGAAAGAGAAACATTTTCGGAGGCACACTTCCAAATCACCTACCGGTCACCGAAATTCTTTCCCCCCCCCCCTCAATAACTATGAGGAGAAACGCATTTCATCGGATGGCTAATTGCTCTTTCCTCGAAATACCAATCGCATCAGAAAGTAATTGGTCGCCGAAACCGGTAATGCGACACGGGCTCACAGTTGACGACGACCTGGACGTCGTCGGTGCTAGGATCCCCGAGTCCGTTGTCGGCCCGGCATCGATACATCCCAGCCTCGTGTCTCTCCACGTTCTCGAGCGTGATGGAGCTGCCGGTCCAGGACTTCTCCGTCGGCGTTTCGTCGCTCTGTTGGGCATAGAATGGGGGAACGGGTTCATCGTTTATGGTTCCTGCAATTCGCCTCTCTTCTTCGGGGTGATCGAGCTCCCAGCTCATGATTTTCCATTTAGGGTCGTCGTACTAGTATAGGTACTTGTAATAGGTGTTTCGGCGTGTCTGGCGAATTTCCCAAAGGGTCACTCAAGAAACCTAATGTTTCTCTCGTTTCTCATCGCCCCACCCCCCTCCCGTACTTCAACCGGTAATTCAGCAACTCCCAGATGAAATTCGTTGCAAGTAGTATAGGCAACAAAAAAAGACTCGCAAGACTCAGCTTCTAGGCATTCCGCCTATGTACATTCGAAACGGAAAGGAATGAAGGGAAAGGGAACGTTGATGATGAATGGGGGAAAAGGGTGCAGAAATAGGTTCTCTCATTTCTTTCCCGCTCTCTCGTTCTTCCGTGCAAAAATCCCACCGCGCTCTGCGCATCGCCATTCCCCTCGTTTCATGCATGTGGGACAGAATGTGGGACCCTGTCGTTCTCTGATACGAGGACGACATCGGCCTCGGCCGCCAGTTGTGGAGAAATGAATCATCTATAATGACAGGGGTTGATAACGTAATTAGACGATGAGGTGAGAGGTTGGATGGTTTCACGTTTGGAAGCGGAAGGACTGGAAGATAATGACTCAAGTTCGGAATCTCATGATCCCTCGCGAAATTCATGCATGTCAGACCCCATGCATGAATGCGAATGCCCGCATCTTCCCAAAGGGCCACGTCCCGCAAGCTATATAGGGGTGGGGTGTGTGAATGTGTCACGAACCTGCATAACCGATCCGGATTATATCCCTGTAATATCCACCCCCCCCCCCCCCCTCTCTCCCTTTTCGCCTTATGTCAAACCGGCGTTGACGGAAGACCAAATGGGAAAAACCGGAACCGTGAGGCTTCCTGCATTGTCTGTTTCTTCCTCGAGATTCTGCACTCGGCCCCGAGCTCATCAGAGTGACCGAGGAGTTTCACCTCTATTGTCATGGTGGCGTACTCGGACGGAAATCAAGTGTTTCCTTCTTCGGTTTCTCGGATCATGAACCATCAAGCGAGATTCAATTGCTAAGGGAGACCAGTTTGGCCATCGGGAGTTTCCTTCCTTTTCATTCTTTTGAAACTCGAGGCGGGAAATGGTTTGAGTACGGCGAGTGGGTGTGACACATTCTTTTTTTCCTCATATATTTTTTTCCCATTTGACCTCCGCACCCTGTCCCGCCCTTCACTTTTCTTCTTCTTCTTCTTCTTTGTCTTGAGACCTACGAGGACGAAGGGGGGGGGGGGGCCCTTCCTATCATTTCTCCGGCTTCTGCCATATAAAGACAAATGAAGTCAGGGAAGGGAAGAAGACACATCACAACTGTTCCAGGGAAAGGTCGAGGACGATTTCTCGACCCTGCCATCGAAGGAGCCAGTAAGATTAAAATTAAAATTAAAAGGTTTCCACCTTGACGAAGGTCCAGGTGACGATCGGTTCCGGGAAACCCCTGGTGACGGTGCAATTGAGGGTCACGGAATCTCCTTCCCTGGCCACGGTCTCGTTCTGTTCCGCCTTCACTCGTGGGGGCGCTGTCGGAAAAATACAAAACGAAGCAAAAATATACATGCATGAGTCATAAAGACATCGTTCCCGTTCGGAAGAGTTTGCTTTCGTGCAAGTTTCCATCCACGTTTTTTTCCTTTCTACGTTTGTTCATCGTGAAAGTGGGGAACCCGATGGAGAGAGACTCACTCTTCAAATACTACCCAATTCTCTCCCCCCCCCCTCGGTCGCATTTAGTCACGTGTAGTACGGTACCGAGAGGTTCTCAGAGGCCTAAAGTGCACAACAATACCCTATCGTCTTTACGCTTGCGTTTTCTCGCCGATTTGCATTCGAATGCAACGAGAGAGACTTATTTTCTTGACCCTGCACCCGCTCAGGGTCGTCTGGTCCCAGCCCGCCTCGCCTGTCGATGAACCCCTACGAACCCCACCCCCGGCCCCCGCACCCCAGAATTCCAGTGATTCAGTGATTCGAGTATCTCACGAATTTAATACGTTATCGTTTCTTCCATATTACTTGCAATATAACATTTATTCAATTTTTTTAGGTAACTTCCGAGAAGCATGTTCAGCTCTACACCATACATGCTCTTCAGCGTGACGTCAACCATCCATGTGTTTACGCTCTTCTACCAGGACAAAGAGAGAGAGAGATTACAGACGTTTGCTGGAGCATGTTTTAACCTTGGTCCCCGGTTGTGCCCCTACCACAGTGGTCACAGACTTTGAGCTAGCGGCAATCGACGCTTTCCAAGCGACATTCCCTGGAGTGGACATGACCGGCTGTCACTTTCATCTGGGGCAGAACATCTGGAGACGGCTTCAAACGGATGGTTTGCAAAGTAGATACATCGCAGATGTCGACTTCGCCTCAAGAGTCAAGTGTTTGATGGGGTTAGCATTTGTTCCACCCGACCAAGTGGCTTCGGCCTACGAAGAATTGGTATGCAGCGATGACTTTCGCGAATTGGCTCCTCTTTTGGATTATTTCGAAGATAATTACATCGGAAGAGCTCGGAGAGGATGAAGAGCCGCACCCCGATTTCCCATTCTATTATGGAACCAATACCACCGTGTTCTCGACGACCTACCAAGAAGCAACAACACATTGGACGGGTGGCACCAAGCATTCGATCACTCTGTTGGTATCGCCCATCCTTCGACTGCGCGCCTTGCTCAGAAGCTGCAGAAAGAGCAACAATTGCATGCAGTAAAAAAAAATCGGCAGTATGAGATGGGATTACCACTTCCGAAGAAAAGGAAGAAGTATCAACGAATAAATGAGGCTCTCCGCATGATGGTAGCTGACTTCGCTAATCGGGATACTGTACAATTTTCGTCTGACGTTGGACGCGTCGTCAACATCAATGTCCTGTGATTGAACTTCATCTATCATGTGATTTCCCCATTTTTGGACTTATTTGTGAATATCTACATGTGATTTATTATTGAATGAATATTATTAGCTTGCACTTGGTGCTCGGCTTCTTCCTGAAGGAAACTTTCTCCTATGCCAATTCCAGTTTAACCTCCAGCCACATGTGTATAAAACACCAGAACCACCATTTTCTCAGCGGTGAAATTTTTTCCTGGCAAAATCTTGTCCGCGACATTTTGTCCGCCGACAATTTGTCTGCTCACGGATGCACGCATTGGGTGTGTACGCCTCGCGGGAATATGCACGACTCGACGCTATGGGCAGAGGCGGACTTCCGTGGGAAACTTCCTCGCCTCGTTATGGATCGTCCCCCGCGAACGTCAGAAGCTGCCCTCGTTTCCGTGCTTTTTGCATTTTCGAATGGCGTGCAGGCAGAGATTAAATTTTGCAAGTCGTGGCGACGGTAATTGGAATTCATTCATGTCGGCTACGAGGGAAGTGCAGACTGGAGAGCAATGGTGCTTTTTTCCCCTTTTGTCTTTTCTGACGCGTTCACGTACCGTGGAAATATTCTGCCGAGCGGAGAATCTCCGGGTAAAAAGAGGACGGAAGAGTCGCACTCATGCCTCGATAACGCATGAGGTCAGTGCTCAATACTCCGAACGAGACCGCATATTCAACCGCAGATCGGAAATGACGTCATACAGACCCGGACGCTCATTTTTTCTCTATGCCTAATCGCCTTCTTCGCCGTTCGAGACGGCGAGTGAAACCGCGGTTAAGAAGGCGATAACCGCCTCAGGTCATTTTCGGAATCCAGTTCAACGGCTCTCACGAAACGAATCGTGAGAGAGAACCAGCTCGAGACCTCGAAGGGGATTTTCGTAAAAGCCCCTCGGCACGAATCTGGAACTCGTTAGGACTGCTCTCTGTGCCCGAAGGTCCCCGCCTGCACGAACGAATAAGTGAAAACTTGGGACGAGTCCTCGATTGTCTGACGAGGAAATGGAAAGTGGAAAACAAAAAGAAAAAATCTCTGACGTGTCGCTAATAATGGCCGTGGAAGCGTGCCTGACCTTGGAAAGTATCCTTTCATGGCAAGTTCTCGTGGTCGTGATCATACTCATTTTCCCACTGCGCCCAGTACTTATCGGCCATCGGAGATGAGTCGACACGAATCGACCCCGGGGAGGGAAAAGGTGGGAAGAGGGGGATTGCACATGGTGCACCTGAGAAAGCTTATAACGCGGAGGGGGATTCGGGTGTCACGCGGCTTCTTTCCGTGTTTGTCTCCTGCAGATCCAGTTTCTCGGGTCGTTCACGTGCGTTTATTGTCGAGGGCATCGGGCTCTCACCGTTGATGAATAGCCGATGAGTGATGTTCTTGGGGGTCCAGGAACTGAGCTGACACGTGTATTCCCCAGCGTCTGCGGGCCGCACGGTCTTGATGTGGAGCTCCTGCCCGCCGTCCTTGGCGTTGATCCGGGCGTCGCGGGTCACCTTGAGGGGGCCGGTCGTCAGCACCGTCTGCTGCTTCTTCCACATCAGCACCAGAGTTCCTGAATAAATAAATAAAATTAAATAAATTCAGGATGACGAGGGGAATCGCGTCGATGCTTTCGAGCGTTTGAAAAGTTTCTAAAACGTGGGGTGATACCGGCGCTCGTTCGTGATTAATGCAAGCTTCGTCGTTTAAAGCAGCGATGCATTACGCTTCAATCAAGTTCCTCCATTAATCAGTTTATGTCTTGCTTCGGGCACATCTTCCATGTAGGTCAAGAGAATCTTACTTAGCCAAAACCCTCAATCTTCCTCAGAATGTATGCAGATGATGCAACATCTCTTTCTGAGTGCAACACAGGAAAGGGCAGTCCTTATTTATACGTCTATGATATCATGGTATTTCCTCGGGTTTCTGCAGAACAGTCGTTTTCTTTCCAAACATATTATTTTTCATTAAACTTTCTCCAGAATTATGCCTATTGTGCTTCATTCTTGCAAAATATTCAATTCTTCGAAATCATTTAATTAAGCTTTTATAGCATGCAATTATACATCATTCTGGTCGATTTTAGTGTCATTTCACTCGTTGAAGAGATCTACAACCCACGTAATCCTATGTAATACTTTTAATTACGCTTTTTGTGCTTTTTCGTTTCCCAAATCATAACTTCTTTTTATTTACGACTTGGTCAATGTGATTTTTTTCAGGGTCCTCTCGTGAAAAAAATCGACCCGGCATTTCAAGAACTAAGAATATAGGGCGTAACACTTGATATCGACAGCGATCGGAGTTGGCGTGACGTCACCGTTAAACCGAGGTCAAAGGTGAGACACGTGGAAGAAATACGGCTGCCTCGGAGTATTCTACTCACAACTCTTCGTTTTCATTTCCCAGCCTTAGCGACGGAAGAATTCGCCATGAAATCGCAGAAGTGAACGGCGTCGCGGCAAACCAACGGAAAACACGAGACGCAACGAGTGTGACGCAATTTCCCTTCTTTTTTCCATTTTCCCTCCTTGTGCATGACCGCATGAACAGTACACCGTTACCTCTTACGATGATCGATGGGACGATGAACGAAAACAATGAGAGTGGTAATCCGTATCGGAAGGAGATATTACTCGATGTGCAAAAGTGCCCGAGGTAGCTTTAAAAAAATAAATACAGACCTAAAAAAAATGTCAAGTTTTGAAAAGTGGAAATGGCGTGAGCAGTGAAGAAAATGCGGGAAATTCTCATCTACTTTCGTTTGAGGTGATTTTCCTCTCAATGAGCAAACGTCGTCATTTGATGCTCTTTAAAGTTTTCAACGAAATTTGATTTTATTTCATGTTCACGGCAGAATTGTATTATTTCCGAGCCCACCTCTAAATTTCATTCCCTTCGATATTCATTTGCATTCGAAATTCAGGGATTTCCCCTTCAGGGACGAATTTGAGCAAATATAAATTGGAAGTGAAACCCTTCGCTAGGGGACAGACCGATTTTGTCGACTTTGCACGGTAAGGTGACGTTGTCCCTCAAGTTGACCGTGAAGTTCTGTCCTTTGGTGATGATGTTGGGGTCATCTTCCAGGACTTCCTCCTCGTAGTCTGGATATTGTGGGGCTCCAAGACAACCTGCGAAATATGAAGGAAAATAACATTAGATTCATGAGCGTCTTACGTGTCTTGCGAATACTTGTTCTGCAGTACTTTGAGGCGAGTCGGGGCTGCATACCCTCCCAGTCTGGCTTAAAACATGAGAAACATCGTACAAAAGTGGATTTACGAGCAGAAATTAGCCGTGATGCCTCCTGCTTGCATGCCATTCTTACTAAGATCGACCCCGTAATTCACCCCTTAAAAAAAAAAGGAAAGGGAACTGTTGAGTGAATGGGACCGAACGGACGTGCAACAAGGCTAAAAGAAGTAGCCAGAGAGTGAGAGAGGGCAGAGACAAGGACGGGGCGTCCAAATATGGAAACCAAGTCGCCAGAGTTAATAATAGCAAGGCGACAACCTGCATAGGCCACGGCGATGCTCGAGGGAATGTCAGAATGCAAGAAAATATAACCACGGTCTTTCCTTCCTTATTTACTTCCACCCTTTCTGGAATCCAAATGTTTTTTTCGTACCGTTTTCGGGAATTTTTCTGTTAGTCCCAAGAAGTAAAAGCAAATATAGGTAAAATATGTACGTTTAATTTAAAGTTGAACTGCTGACACCATCGCCGGAATGTGAGAATACAGAAGATGACTGGATTGAAGAGCGAGGAACTCCAGCCGGGATTTTATTCGTTTTGCTACATGGCTGGAAAATGACGCAGCGATTTATCGAAAATCTCGAATGCGAATGGAAACAAAATGAAACAAGGTTGGGATAAAATGCTTGCCCTTCAGCAAAAAAGACCTTGTCATTCCATGAAGCATCCGCAGACAGTACTTTGAGTGGAATGTCACAACGGTATGTGTCTAGAGAATTCAGGAATTTCCTTTCGGAATATTGCGTCAAGATGGCTTCGTGGTGTCGCGAAAACACGGCGTCGAACTAAGCGGCGGCTCGTTGCTCATGCTATAGGATATGCCAATAACGTAGCCAGGGAAGGAGGGCTGTCCTGGCGTCCCTCCCCGTAGCTTATATAAGGTTGTTTAGGCCGTCAGAGAACTTCATTGGCACTTCGAAAAATGAGACTCTCGCTACAGTACTGGGTTAAGCCCAGGATGCCAATAAAATGTGTGTCCGAAACCCGGATTTTTTGCGCCCTCTTTCAGTCGGAACGTGCTTCTGAGAAATGGATCTACTTCCTCCCCTCCCCCCCCCCACCTGGTCCCCGGCCCCATACTCAGGAGAAACTAACTAAATGCACTATTTGTGTCAGGTCTCATTTTCTCTTGCTTCATCTGCATCTTCAAATTTCGTAAATGGAAATATATTTTAAAAATTCAAAGGATCAATGAATATTCTTAGCTTATCAATGGGCTTTGGTAGCGCCCATTACCTTTCTTCAAACCCTTACGGCGACAAAATTCGACCGTCTTGTATTCATCTCTGAGAGCATCGACGTGAATGGAATTTGGCATACTTCTTCCTCTCGTAACACAGAACCAATCCTGCAAATTTGAAGGTCCACCTCCCCGGGATTCTGGAGATCACTGCATCTCGCTTTTGGGAATGTGAAGGTCATTCCGGTATTTTTTTTTCTCTCCCCCTGAGTTGCCGCTCCTGGGAAGTTTTGGAGGAAAGATACCAACCAAACGAAAGATATTGACCTGGAGGTAACAAAATTCTCCTTTCTTTGCTTTCAGTACACCATTTCGCCATGAACAATGAAAGATGATGTTAATTTAGGCTTAGCGCGATGGTCCGGTCCAGTCCTCCAGTGTTGCCGGATATCGTGCCTTAGTTATCTGAGATTCATGACTTCATCGGCTTAAACATCGTAGAATGGATATTCTCTTTTTACTGTAGGAGACATGAACGTGCTGAATTCATGGGATGACTGAGATTTAAACGGTGTTTTGATGTGGCCGATCGATTTGGTGGAATACGGAGATATCTCATTCGGACATACCGAAATGAACATGATGGCGACCAGCTTCCATATCATGCTTTCTAAAGACATCTTCTCAGAACGAATCGAGACGATTCGAGGAACTCTGGAACTCTGCTCGAATACCTGTACAACTCAGAATGCTTGAAAAGATATGGATCCGTGGCGATGACATCCTATGTACGTCCAAAGGACGACCGCCACTAGACTAATACCCATCTCTGGACAACTGGAGAGTCCATGGACGAGTTTTGGATCATCCATGGCTACTAGCGAAACTTTAATCAGGCAAGTTCAAGGCAGGACAGTGCATGCTGGTAGACTTCGCGCCTTATCGCATCAAGTGTGCAAATATTGTGTTAATAATATTTCCATTCTCATTCCATTCCAAAATGACAGCTTCAACCAATGGCTTCTTCTTCGAGCTCTCTGCAATTGCTTCTACGAGTTCCCATTATAAATTCAAGCCCAAATTGAGAAAATACATTTTTCAATTTGTCAAAGTTGATAGTTGATAGCTTTAACTATGATAATTTTCCGAATCTTAAATGAAAAACAAGCAAATTTTCTTTCCCTTTTCATTGGATAGATGGATGTAATATCAGCAGTTTAAAGAATTGTCGCCTGAAATTTGTCACATTTGCATTGAAAATCTCAGTTCCATGGTTTCCATGTGAATTTTTTTTTCCTTTGCAAGATAGGAAATTTCAGAGGAAGGTGAGGGCGGGTGTTTCCTTTGCAATGCTCTGGGAGATACGTAGTATCTTCGAAAGTTTTCGTTCAATGAATTTACTTTTTAAGGATTCTTTCATCGCCTATGCGAGATAACCATCTGGTTTGGACGAAGAAGAAAATGAATGGTTTGGAAGAAAATTAACTGCAAACAGCACCCTTTCTGTTTGAAAGAAGCTTGGGAATCTGGTTAATAATGTATATTAGCCGGTGTTGCGAGGCACTTAGCATTGCAATACCAGTTTGGAATTAGCAGGCATGACTTTTGAATTGAGCTCGAAGAGAACCTACTAAGATATTCCAGGAACTCAGCTGAAGAATCAAAACTGTGCGTGTACGTACCCATCACAAGCAGCAACACATGTTGAATTTCAACCATCATAACTTGAACGGATTCATGAATTTATGTACCACGTATGACATGCCGAACCACTATACAGAACTCAGTCCCTCAGGAATCGCACGACTTGCGTGGGTATCAGAGGAAAGTGTGGGCCAGAATCCGGCATCCTTGAGCACTCTTCTCCCCGTTGGTGAGCATATCATCCATCCGGTTCGGACGACGATTTGCTTATCGCGTGTTTCTTCCTGTCTTATTAATCCTTTCCATTGGTGGTTCGGGCACTCTCGTCATCCTTTTTCTCTGAGGCTTCTCTTCATGTTGCCAATTGCAATGAATTCGATCTGCGTTCGGCGCTGATGAGGAAGGCCCACTCGAGTACGGGCTGAAAGTGCTCGGTTCGATGGTCTTCATCTCTGGGGAAGCGACAATGAGGCAACAGCAGAGGAATTCCTTCTCTTGCATCAAGAAAATGAGCAGAGTCGTGAATGAGTCATCCGTATTACCGTGTCATTTGCACCAAAAAGAAGCGTCTGCTTATCCGTAGTCCATTGTTCAGGATCACGAATTTACCTCGAAGGAAAAGTTTATTTGGACAACAACGAGTTCATCCGCTGTAACACTAAAAAAAAATTCCGGCCAAAAGTACTTCCCTTCTCTGAACGCATTCCCTCGGAATTTCTTCATTTTCTTCAAAAAAAAAGTTCCTTCTTCTTCCTGAAATATTGCGGCCAAGGGACAGGTTTTCGAAATCCGATATATAATGGAACCAAATTTGTATTCATTTCTCTCAGAATAGCATATTTCATCAATTCCTTGAAACCTTACCTTGAATACCTTCCCAAGCAACACAGAACGTTGCGAAACCGACGTTGCATTCTGGTCGCATCGTCGCGGATGTTGCATCGACGTCACACCAACGTTATTTGACGGCCATGATTTCTAGTCCTAAAGTGCATTTTGAAAAAACGAAAAAGCTATTGGCTGGTGATCCTTCTAATGTATTTTGCTAAACGCCCAAGGTGACATGTTTCGATGGCCCAACGTTAGGAAAAGGTTGGGAAAGTACGGGGGAACATGAATGGTGGGGAACGAAGTAATTGGCCCAATATGGGTCAGCCAATTCTCCGCCATGCTACTAGATGGAGGTATTGGTCACGCGGTTCGCACAGAACGCAAAAGTTCACCTCCTTCATTCCATGGAGTCGTCTCTCGCTGGATGTTTTAGTACCTCGTCATATATTTCGCCTACTCTTATTGGGGGAATCATAAACGCGGACACTTCAGCATTCATTATTCACATATTCAACTCAGACTCATGAAGCGCAGGCCATAAACAAGCTCGTAATCCCGATGAGAAACCTTTTGAGAGAAAGTAATGATTCATCCGAAAATGATTTATTAAGTAGTGTTGAAATGGTCGCGAACTGGTTCGCCCTTTCCTTACTCGATGACAGGATGTGGATGTTATGGACTGATATCGCAGACACAACTCGGAACCGAATGACGTGGCTCTTCCTCTCACATGGACTACTATCAGTACAGTTAGTGGCAGAACAACTTCTCTTCTGGCCTTGACATAGGACATCATGGAGATGCAATTCATGAAGGACAATGACAGGGATTATGACGCCCGAAGCACGTTATGGGGTTAAGGTACTACGGGAACGTAAAAATAGGGAACAGACGACAATGAGAAGTTACTGCTGAATCCTGGGCGAAATTGTTGAGTCTCCTCTGACCAAGAACGATTTGACGGAGGCCATGTCTAAGAATCATGCAGCAATCGACCGTGTTTCTCCTGCATGCCTCCTTCCTTGTCTAAGATTACGACCTGCTTTTTCCTCAGAGTCAATGGTGTGATGGAATAACCTGATGACACCTACATAGCTTTTCCAGGCGAATCGATAGGATTAGGAATGGCAGGAATTTTCCCAGTTGTGCCTAAAATGGCCGGCATACTGTACGAAGCGTGATCCTTCTTTCTCTCTCTCACTCACTTCTTTTTCCTGTCTAGACTTACTTTACTAGTCTAGTCTACTGTCTAGACTAGTAAAACCACACGCAAGAATAAACGCCACTAATCAAACTTCACTTTTCCATCTATGAGATTTTGAATTATTTTCTGTTCTTCGAAAAGGAATATCGAATTTCCTTTCTCTAGTATTTTCCTATAATAAAAAATACTTTCAGTTGATATTCAATCTCCAAAATATATTTCTCTCCGGATAATCCAAACTGCTTATGGCTATCACCAGGTGGAAAAAAGAGCTATTGACGAGCAATTTTCTACCACGGAGCATTCACATCCTCGATCCTGCGTCATCTATTTAAAGTAAAGGAAGACAAATGAGTGCAATCGCATGCTCATTCGTTTGTTTTAACCGTTCTTCCTTGACTTTGGGGCGATCCGTTTCCACTCGTCAGATGTACGATGTAGTGGCGTTTTCACATTGCTCGAATTGTTTTTCATATTCAACGCTACAGTCATCTTCGAATATAGAATTCTCAGTTTGCTCGAATCCATTGTGACGATTTTCCTCGTTTCCGGAGAATAGGTCGTCTTTGAGGTTTGCATATGCCCTGGAACTATCTTTTTGCACTCGTGGTTCCTGTCTTTCTTGGTGGTGATCCTCTTGTGTTATTGTTGCCATCTTCGGCAGATTGTCCGTCTTTGACTGAAAATTCTCCGATTTCACATGTTCGGGTGCATTTGAAATACCTTCTTTTCCATACTTTTTCTTCAACGGTATCAGGTATCCATCATCCGTATCAGTTGGCATCAATTTTAGATAGTCCGTTTTGGTCCGGAAGTACTCTGCGTTCTTTTTCTCGAACAACTCGTACTTTTCCATGTAGTGCTATAAGAGAACATGATCGAAAAGTTGTTGAAATCTGGGTTTGAATCAAAGATCGAAAGGGCATGGAAGAGATTCTCACCAGACGCTCAGACTCTAGAAGCATTTCACCGAACCATGCACTCAACACGGGGAAGGTCGGACGATTGTTTGGATCCTCATCCCAACACTTCCTCATCATTTCGTAGCTGTTAAGGGACGGAAAAAAATTGTCGGTATGAACCTCCGATGAACATCATGTTCAAAGTAAAAACCGCGACTGGTATACAGTGTCTCACAAATGATGATCGGCGAATCGAGGTGCCTCCATGCGGTACCCCGTCTGGAGAAGCCGGACGAGCTCTACGCCGTTCAATCCAGGATACGGGGTCTTCCCAAGGCTGAACATTTCCCAAAGTGTAATTCCATACGCCCAAACATCTGATTTGCTCGTATAGACCATGTCCTGTGTGAGGGACTCCAAGGCCATCCATTTTATCGGCAATGGACCCTGGAAGACTCAGATTCCGTCCATTAGTGAAAAATATATCATTCATGGATATTACAACATACCGTGGAACACAGATTTGGTACTCACATCCCCCTTTGTGATGTACTGATTGTTCTTATAGATGTCTCTGGCAAGGCCAAAGTCGGAAATTTTCACAATGTTGTCTTCTGCAAGTAAAATGTTTCTCGCGGCCAGGTCCCTGTGCACCACCTGTGAAAGCAATGAAAGCCAGAAGATTAGTCAGTTTCTGAATTCCATACATTTGGTTAAACTCTTGTTTTCCGACATTATCAAAAGGCATTTAATAAATTGTAATTGATATATTGACATTGACTAGGTCCATTTTAAATAGGATTGTGAGGATTAAATGTAGGATTCATGAATTTGAAATTTTTTTGGCTATTAAGGAGGGCTGGAGCACGGTGGGAACAGATGCTGAGGATCAAAAATAGATGAGAAACTAGATAAGAATTTGCTCATCCTGAGCCTTTGTACTTTTCCCTCCTGAGCTTCACATATTTTTCAATATTCAAATTCAGATCTCATGAAGAAGTCAACCTTAAGTGGAGCTCGGTGATTTATATTAAGAAGGTGATTTCACTTGATCAATCGATCACAGCACGTGATCATTTGAAGCCCTTGAAAGATGACACACTACTAGAGGGAGCTTGCGAGTTTTCTTTTCATTTTTGCCGAAAGTGACATTTGATTGGCTAAGAGTGAAAGTGATATTGAGAATATTGAGATTGGGGAGGCTCACCTTACGGGAACCCAAGTATTCCATGCCTTTAGCTATCTGAAAAGCCCAAGAGACGAGATTGCTAGTCGTGAATTGTCTTGAGCGATCGCTTCCTTCTGAGGACTGATGGCTGGTGTTGCCCTTCAGCGCAGGATGTTTTGATTCACTCTCTCTTCCTGAAATGAAAGTGATTCATGGCAAATGCCGCTATTTAAGCTTTTGCTGTTGAAAATTGCAATTGTAGATGAAGATTCTGCTGCGTTTGTTCGGGCTATTCCACCGATCCAGAATCTCGACTGGTTAAAAGTTTACGATTTATGGTGTCATAATTTGTACTATGGCAGGATTTTATGGCAGATTCATGAAACGAAAGAAGTAGCACCAAGGAAGTTGAGGAACTTGATCATACGACTCGAAGATGGAAGAATCCCAGAGTCAGAGTCAACAGAATCCTTCTGGAGTACACTGTCGGGTCCTCCGGAGTCAGTCGCCGGTGATGCAGCTGGTAAATATTTCACAACCCATTCGCTGCTTAGACGAGAAAGAGTTGTTGACTTGGAGCGTCTTGGCAAAACGGCGAATTTAAACCGTGAAGGAAAGGCTCACCCTAGTGTTCTATCTCTCTGGGCTTCGAGTGCAGCATCTTCGTTTGCAGAATCATCAGTGCAGTGCTCCTGTCTCCCGGTACTGTCATTGAGCGTTTGGTTGTGGCGGTCGATCTGATCGATGAAGTTCGTTTCATTTGCCCTCAGGTACTTCTCCAGACTCCCGAAAGGGCAATATTCCATGATCATCATCAGATCCCCTAAAATTAATATTTATTTTTTTTCGAATCAATATAAATAACTTACATAAAAGTTAGGAGAACGATATATACTGGCGTTTTATCAAAATTAGACCGTAAAAAGAAAATCATGGAATTTCTAGAGCAATCATTTTTCATCTAGAATCTATACCGAAGTAAAGAGAAGCATTGCCCCCAACACAGAGATCGAGCTGATCCATGAACCAGAGGCGGCATGGAAACGATGTAACGTGTGTCTCCGTTCAGCCTGTTCCGGGAGTCCAGGGGGGAATACTGGCTGGTTCTCTAACCTGGTCGGTTGGTTCTACGTTACAGGTACGGATGAATGGGCGCTGCTAAGACAATGAGATACCTTCGGAGAACAATTTTTCTATTGCAGTCAGTGCAGTTATTGAAATCATTGAGAAAATCGTTTCTTCGCCATATCATTAGCTCCTCGATAAAAGGCATTCATGCAAGAGAGGGAAAACATATGTGAACCCATCAATAAGTTCCCGGAATGAGCCTCGTACTGGCTAACGACTTACTTCTGTTAGGTCTCAATATGATCATCTTCAAAATATCTCCCTTGGCTAAAATGCACTTCACCCAAAGTTTGTATAGATTCCAGAACCCCGACTGAATCCCATTCCTTGAAACTTCCTTTAGCAATTTGGTCGCGGTTACTTGTGGGTTATTCCATACGAACTCAGCCTGTACTTGTGTAAAATGGAACCGTACCACTTCATATTTCAGGATTAAAATTCTCAGCGATAACAGTCAATCTAAAAACCTTGGGTAGAAAGAAGAACGGACTCCATTGGATTAACTGTTGGTGAGATATCGTCCCCCGAACCTTAGACGTAAAACGTAAAACGTAAAAATCCACGGACGAAAAAATTTAATCTCAGGAACCGTTCATCGCACGGTGGCGTGGAATCGATTGAACCGGATCTATTCTCAATCATGTTATTTACGTCAATATTATATAACTTTGATGTAAATTTTTTTCCTGTTTTACGCAAACCTTCATCAATTCTCAACATGTTTGCAGAAATGTCACCAATGTGATACGCAAACAGTGATGTAAAACTGACTAGAATTTTAAATGGATTTGACATTCCCGTTTTGTATCCGAAGCAGCATGTTTATATCCATTTCATATAAAGTGTTTGTTAATTTTTTTTTTAAATTCATGTCAATTTTTATCACTAGTAAACCACCAGATTTTACGAGAAAGTTAGAATGTTCGTTAGAATACTCAGAAAAGTCCACAAGTACTCTTCCTTACAAATACACAAGAGTACCCGCTACTCCACTCCTTTGCACCCAGCTCAGAACCCTGACATAATAAACAGGACGTAAAGGTACTTTATGTAGAAGAAAAATGTTTGAATATTAAGAAGTCCTGCATTTCACACTTCCTTACTCCCGTACATTCCTGTATTTCCATACCTCAACATTTAATCATTCTCTGAGTCATATATTTTAATAATAATATCATACTTCCATGTTTTCCTAAAATATGTTCATAAATTACACAAAGAAAAGAGGAAAGGGAGGAGAAAGGCGTCATACTATACCAGGAAAGCAGGTACTTGTTGGTATTCGTTGCGTGCTGGGAACATGGGATCCATCTAGTAAGGCTCTTGGAATTATAGACACTCTAGAGTGAGCTAAAATTTCATATGGATGTTGTGGTGCTGATTTTGCATGAACTTCAAATCATGTATTTTATATCAGAGGAAGTCATGTCCTGTTCTTTTAAAATACACACCCCCTTAGGTCAGAGCTTCCCAACCTTTTCCACGCACAACCGCATAAATCACCATTATGCCATTCCGGACCCGAAGAACTGGCCGAAGTTCCACAGACTTCCCCCACCTACGCACTAAAATCGCAAAGAAAAATAAAACTGCGTTTTACGTGCCCTGGGGGTACAAATTTTGGGGGGTAACGTTTTTCTTAAATATATTTTGTGACAGATGATAATGGCATTCAGAGAGCCAACTGGATATCCTGGATTCGGTGGTGTAGTAGTAGCAACTCTAAGTGGCAATCGGAAGGTCCATGTTCAATTCCCGGCCATTCCTTGGCTTTCTTTTGGCTTTTTTTGCCTTCCATGTCCCGTTATTCATTCCCCCTCCATAACATTATATTTGCTTGAGTGAAACGGAGAGACATGGAGAGCTGAACTTGGCATGGCCGTGTCTACCGAGACGATGAGTTTAGGAAAAATGCAAATTTTTAGATCCATGCCTTGCGGGCATGTATTTGTGAGCAGACGTTTCCAAGTATTTTTTGTCCTGGCGTATTGAGCTAGGGTGGAAAGATGAAACTTTGTACATAACTACCTATTGGGATGCTGCAGAAAATGTCTTAATTTAGAAGTAAATGTCTTGGGTGCACAAAGTTCAAAGGGAGATGTTTTCAACGAATTTTTTTTGCATCAGTTAAACTGATGAACATGGAAAACTGAAACTTTGCATGAATGTGACACCTGAATCAAGGAGTTAAATAAACATGTTAAGTCTCGATACATCCCCGCGTGAATTTTTTCGAGGGGCGATGTTTTGAGAAAAGAAATTGTTGTGGCGAATTGGACAGAAATGGAAAGGTGAAACTTGGCACACGTACAAGTGACATGATATTACTGAGTTGAGGGAGTATTCAGCTTTCATGGGGCATCCCCTCCGAGCATACCTTTTGGGTGGGTCGCATTTCCAAATATATTTTTTTCCGCCAGCGAAAAGGGGAAACGTTTAAGGCTGAAACTCGGTGGCATGGAGTTCCCTGAGTCTACATTTCAAAAGAAAATATATTTTGTTAAAACCCATTAGGGCACTCTTTTCTGTCCCATTTTCCTGATTTTTTTTTGATTCAACGAAACAGAAACAGAAAATTTAATCTTCCCTCAGAAGGACATGTTTGATGGCTGAGTAGAGTAAAAATCCTAATTTTGAAATATGTCTCCTTAGCGTAGATTATTGGAAGGAAATATTTCAAAATGTATTCCCCACCCTTGCGAAAAGGGACTCATGAAAAGATTTTAAGTTTGGCACAAATAGAATCATAGAAGCAATGCTTTTGATAAAAATCAATACTTTCCTCCAAATATGTAACGTATTTCACTGGGGACGTACTTTAAATACGTGCTTCCCATTTAGCAAAAAATGAATGAATTAATCACCATCCAAGGTAATAGAGCGCCGAAGACGCGACTATAGGGAGTTTGTTTGCCCGAAGGGCAAACAAACTCGCTAGTACAGTATGATGCTCTGCCGAACTTGCATGTATTTGACCGACCCTACAAGATATGACGAATGTACTCACCATGTGCCAAACCTTTGGTACATGCTCCAAGGAAATTGACGACATTCAAGTGCATTCCAAGGTGACTCATGATCTTCACCTCCATCAAATGCGTCTGATAATTCTCCATACTGGAGTGGGGCTTTCTTTTCTTCACGGCTACTGTCATTTCGGGCTCCGGAGGACAGATCCCAACAGCCACAGCCTTCAGCACGTAACCGAATTGCCCACTGCCGAGGACTTCTCCTATTGCGATAGAATCTACCTTCTAAACAGATTCGTCAGATTGGGGGTCTGGGTCCTTACCGAGTTTCAGTTTCTCAGGAGGGAAGTCCCAGTGCTCGTCGAATGGCAGTAGATGTATTTGTTCGCTGAGCCCAATCGCTGGATTCAGGCACTCGGGTTGTCCTTTCAAGAATCGCTCTGTTTCTTCTTTGGATAATGCGATGTTTCTGGCCTGCAAAGTTCACGAAAAGGAATTGGATACGATTGAAGAAAAGGCGGTTGTCGAATCATGGTGCGTGACTCACTTTCTCCTTTCTGAAACGATAGTAGGAAATAGAGCCCACTGTCAGAGCCACGACTGAAATCGCTGCAGCAGAGATGGCCAAAATCATTGATTCTCTTGATATCCCGCCGGTTATCTTCACATCAACTCCTGATCCGCTTGAATTGTTTAGACTAGTGGCAGGTAAACCTGCTGCAAACCGGAGGAAAATAAGTGTTCTTTGGTCGTGGAAAGAGTCACAATGATCTTCAGAGACTATTACCCAAGTACCACCCGAACGTGTTCAATGAACGATTCATTTATGGTTTCGTCAGCGTTCCATGAAAGTTCATGGGAACGATCTATTGACCGCTTATTTATCTGAAATTTAGGGCGATCAAAGATAATTAAATGTAGTAATGTGAAAACCAAATTTCAATGGTTTAACCTTTCTCCACCCACCAACTCCAACACCAAGCTCAACTGCACCCTCCCCCCCCCACACACACACACTTTCCCCCTTCTGTACGTAACTCACTAACGTTTGGCCTCGGCCTCACGGACAACCTATTCGAAAATCTTCAAAAATTATTTCGAAAGTAAATATCTGCATATTCCACCTCATCGATCAAGAACTGCTAACCGCCTCTTCATTCTCAGCTCAACTCATGAAGCAGCACAACAGTGTCTTATATCTAAGGAAAAAAAACCAGAAGTCCAGACGACACTACGAAGGTTTAAACAGCTTTGAATCTCGCATAATTTCGACACGGTATCCGGGAACACGGGGGACGGTATCGGATTTAGCAATCTAGGCCTAACTGAACGACAGCTAATTTCATTTTCTATGGGAAAATGGAGCGTTGCAAACAAGAAAATTTTTTTTCATCATCTATAAGTCAATATCTTTCTTATGGTTGGTCTCTTTCCTCCGAAAACCCCGCAGGAGTGGCTACCCGGGGGGGAGGGGGTAGAAAAGAAACCGGAATGAAATTCGCTTCCTTCAAAAACGGGATTGAGCGTTCTGCTCTACCCGGGGAGATGGAACTTGAAATTTGCTGTATAGATTCTGTGTTGAGGGAGGAAGAAGTATGTCAAATGTCGTTCCTGTTGATGCTCTCAGAGAGGAATACGAGGATGTATGATATTTTGTTGCGGCAAGGAGTTGAAGAATGGTCCGTTGGAGGTCGCGCAAATCGGGTGGGACGTTTCAACTACCCCTTTATCTGGCCGTTCCCCCAATAAAAATACGGCTCCCACGTTACGTACAAGTAAGGGGAAGACATTTGATATTGCTAATGCCTTTGTCGAGAGTGGAAACCCAATTGAAGGAAACTCCTGGCAATTCTTGTGCAGCGGATGGAGGAAAGGCTTGGTAACTTCACCCTTCGCTGCGTATGGAAGCTGAAGTCGAGAATCCTTTAAACAGCCCTATCTAATCCTTATAACATTGTACAGGGTGAGCCATAAGTCCCAGGACACTGTTTTAGCTGCCTATACAATATTTGTTAATACCATCTATTTATACTGTTTGCTTGTTTCAGATAAGGCAAATAATACATTAAATCAAAATGGCAGATACCAGTCCATCAGTTGATGAACTGAAACAACGCATTCAGGAAGCATTTGCCACCGTAACGCATGGTATGTTGCGTCGTTTTCGCACTGCACGTGGAGAAGAATTATCTTGTGCCGTGACAACGGCGGACGTCATACTGATGTACTTAATGTCAAAGGATGTATTGTAATTGTTGTCTTACTGTAATGTGTATCGGTAATAATAATTTGAAGTAATATGTAGCAGGAGGGGTGTGTTTTGTACAGAGTCCTGGGACTTACCTGGGGCTCACCCTGTAATACTGAATTTGGGACGTCACCTGGGAATTGAGATGGCTGGCGGGGAAAGAGAGTCGGTAGGATGGTCTTGACGCTGCAGCACACTTCACTCCCTGAGCACGATGTGTTCCAGATCTCAGTTCCTGGATCGCACTTACTTGCATATGAGCGAGAAAGGCACACGTGGGTGGATGGACATGACTCAATGGGTAAGGGCGGCTGGCAGCAGAACTCCTCGGAAGGACAGTTTGAAGGAAGCACTGTCTTGCAGAAAGACGACACTTGGATCTTCACGCACTGGTAGGGACATTGACGATCACAGTCCTTCATGTAATCCGAATTTAAGTCTTTTAAATCGGTTCCATTGTGACACTTCCCAAAAATGTTCCTAATAAATTTCTGACCAAGCACAAGCCATGCTATGTTACAATCGCATCGGATAGGATTGCCTGGAATAGGTGCAGGACAAAGAGTGCAATTACGCATGTGAACGAATTGAATAAAAACAGATTCAGCAATGGTGAGAAAGAGTAGAACTCACCGCTTAGAACGAGGGTTCCATTCCCCCTTGAGAGGATGTCCAATATTGGGCGGAAGGTCTCCTCAGGCAATACAGTGATATTGTTTTGGTCCAGAAAAATGTTCGTATTGGGCGAGATACCTGGAATGCAAATCATTAACATCATGCGATGAACTAACTTGAAACTCCAAGGCTTCTTTCGAGTATGCCACTGATGCAGTGGTTTGCAGCTGGCGCCATGAAGGCATAATAAACGTATCGGAATGGTTCAGTCACTTTTTCAGGAAATTGCCATGGGCGTGATACAAGATGCCATGAATTTTCTCAATTACGTTTTATTTGGAGTATTCATATAATTCAGGAGAAATACATATATGTAAACGCTCAAGGGCAAGCTGGTCCCCCAGAGGATTGGCACAAAGTTCAGGATTCTTGACAATTGCAGGTCTCTATTCCTGGTCGTTCTATGTTTGAGCGCCTCTAGGCACATATATTTCTTCCAAATGGATGGTACAGTTAACAATGCCCATATATTTCATCTGACCATGAATGTCTATACATAAAAAATATATTGGCAGCTCTTTGGAAAAATGGTTTTATTTCAAGAAATCACCTTCAATTTTACATAGTGCCAAGATCATATGACTATTTTTATTAGTTGTGATTTTTTTAGAATATTAAAGGAAACTTCAGAATGACAGCAGTGATCGCAAAATGTCCAATGTCAGTTTTGATATGAAAAACCGTTAACCGTTAGAAAAAACCGTTACATCAGCTACTAAGATATCAAAACTTCATGTCCCAAAAAATCTTCTCCCGAAAAATAGGGTTGATTTTTTTGAGGAAACTATATTTTACTGCACGCTAGCAAATATTAACCAGAAGGTTCATGGCACCTACTAACATGCATCAGCCTTTATTGCTGAGCACCACCATACCTTTTGTTTTCGAGGAATGCATATCTTTTCCTTGAGAATGCCATGTGACTAAGACATGTCAAAACAAGGGAGCCGAGCTTCGTGAGGTATCACGACGCAGTGGCCTATAGAGGATGCGCAGGAACACATGCACGACAAGGTGTGCAATAAAACCTTTGCAATCGGGGAAGGGTGGGCATTAAAAGTGAGATTGTGTCATCAGAATTCCTGTCTTGATCGGGATTAGGGGGGACACGGAGAGGTGGGGACCTAAGCAGAATGGATTAAAGTGGAGGAAATAGGGAAGTGAAGGAAAAACAAGAACATAGTTTTCTTCTGGAACGGGTTCCAAGATAAATTAGATTGAGTGAAATATTCAGGGTGTCCATAATTCACATTAATTGATAACATTATTTACGAGCGTCATTGGAGTAATTTATGATATCATTCACAGTCTAAGACGAATGAAAGTATGATGGTGGATAAGAAAATAACAACCAATGATTCTTCTTGCCGCCTGTTTTCATGCAATGGTGGAATCACACGTTCATTTGTCCTCTGTTTTTGGTAACTCCAATCCTGTAAAGTTTTTTGCCATGGATAGAACAATTGGAGAAAAAAAATTCACATTACTTTTTCATTCAACCTTGTGAAAAAAATAAAACACTTCAAAATCTTAGAAGAGAACGAGAGTCGCGCCTGTTCCGAGTTGCACTGCACTTCCACGAAATAGCCCTGACCCCAATCAGACGGGGACAAGTTGGCTTGCTCGTCTCTGGTAAGCTCCTCTTTTTCCTGGCAGTTTCGTATGTTGTACGCATACACGCGCGAATCAATGCTAAACATAATCACTTCCTTCCCCAACCAGTCTAATTTTTACCTGTCTTTCATTTTTTCGGGTCATGTGGAAGTGCGCCTCATTAGTGACTGAAATTGTTAATGATGGCCGGAAGGTGGAGTGTAAATCCTCTCAGGAATGCATGCCAGGCATGATCCTGCCAGCATATATTACCTATGCCTTTTAAGTATTTTTCAGATTTGGCTTGTTTTGGTGCTTAGAATGCCAAAGGCAAAAGATCCATCAGCTCTTTTGTATCCACATCCCTAGTTCTCTGTCATAGCTTGTGTATAAATATTTCCCCATATGGGATGCTGCTTTAGCTACTAGTATGTATGGGTTGAAAAAGTATTGGATAATGTGGCAATATTGGAGCACCGGTAACCTAGTGGTAATACCTAGATGAAATACCAGTAATTACCGGTAAATTATTTATAAATTACCGGTAAGTAATTGGCTCTACCTCACCGGTAATTTTACAACCCTAATTATTTTGATGAAGTAGCAATGAACCAAAAAGTTTGATTGCAATAGTAGATGTGAACATAAAAAAGATGCTCCAAATGCATTGGTAAATTACTACGATTGTGGAGCACCGAAAGCGTGTCCATAGCGAGTTTTTATTTCTTCTTATAATGTATATCTTATAAAGAGGAATAATAATTTTAAAAATGTATTTTCATCTCGAACTCGAAATGAACTTCTCTTTGAGAAGTGACATGAATTCTCACGAACTCATTCATTAGCTCAGCAGAGTGTCAACTTGGAAATGCAATCAACCAATCATCCTCCGGCCTCTTAGCCACAATTTTCGGAAGATTCCTTGGATTGGGGTAGTAATTTAAACTGAACGCTTTCTTATATGGTGTCTGTGGAGGAAGATCGGGCACCTTGTGGTACGTATTAAGGACTAATTCCATATGTATCAGGTATCGACGCGATATAGCGAAAACTTTGGTGACATCTAGCGTTCGTTGTGAGAAACTTTGTTCGAGCGAGTACCATATTGATTGGACAGATAAGCTTAAAGTAAACGTACCCTTAACGTTCAATATCCTTCAAAAACGTGATGTATTGGTGATTAAATGGCACGTAAGCATAGCGCGCAAATGTTACTCATCTGTGAGCATTAGAAGTCCCAAAACTTCCTTGAACACAGGTTGAACGTCCTCGAGAACGTTCTTGCGTTACTTGGGGTAGGTTTTACCTTGAAAACATCGTAATATGAACCTCATGAATTGCATCACCTCGACATATTTCATGATGATGAGGATGCATTATGCTCAAAAACCCGCGCTTTATCGTGTCTGCCAAGAAATCATACCCGTGATGGCTCCTGCTTCCAGTTTGGAGATGCTGTTGGAATTGAGAAACACCCTTTTCAAAGCCTGGCTCTGGAATTCCAGGAGATCTCTTGAAACGGTGGGACCCAGGTTGCACCCTGGACACCAGAATTCCTCAAGATTCTTCAAGCCCTTGATGACTGCAGACGGGAACTTCACTAGGGGATTGTTCCCTGCATGAAGGTAAAATATATTAGTGACTAAATTACATACTGCACGACCAACTTCCTTCGTGCTTCTCCGAATCAAAGTAAATATGAAGTAGCGTAAAAACCATTTTTCAAAATCTTTTCCCCCTCTTTTCAATCCCACTGCCCATTATGGGACACGCTAACGTTTGGCCCAGGCGAAACCCGGCGAAACCCAGGCGAAAAGGGCTGTTTTTAATTCAGACCTCATCTCTAGGCCTATCTTTCTTCGTTTCAAAAGAATCTCAAACCTCAACTTAGGGGGTCAATTAGACATGTTAGGGTGAATCTTGTGGTCTTGGGGACATCTCAGTGAGGACCCATAACGTTTGGCCGACTGCAGGCCTATTCCGACCTTCACGAACAATATCAGAGGACGTGTAACGTTAGGCCTATCTGGAGTTTCTCGCACCATCTCCACGAAGTCGATGGAGGGTATCCCTCCAAAATTCAAATGCATCATGCACTCCATCCTGTTGATCCAGGGAAGTCTGTCCACGATATCTCTATTCCCCCCCCCCCTTCCCCCCAAGCACACACATCGATTAGCCACCATTAACCACTGTTTCAGTTTGACCTCATCCCATGAACTCAAGAAAATATCATGAATCAAAAACAAAAGACTCTGGCACAGATATGAAAGCAGAAACAGTCATGAACTTGACATGGCTCCAATACGAAATCTGGCAACCGTGTGAAAAAGGTCTGGAGTCCGCACGTTAAACATAAAAGATCGACAGCCAATTTCATTTTTCATGTGGAAATGCTACATTGCAAACAAAAAGGGGGCATTTTTCGTGATTTACAACTCAGCATCTTCATTTTTTTGGAATACGTATTTTCTCGTTCAACACCCCAGGAGAGGCTTCTCAGGGGTGTGGGGAAAAATATATACCGGCTGAAAATTGACTTGTTCAAAAGGGGAGATCCAATGTTCACCGCAACCTCGATAAATTGGAGCTTGAAATTTACTGGAGCGATTCTGTTTTGAAAGGGTAAGAAGCATGCCAAAGTTCGTTCCTCGATATGCACCTAAAAAAGAATACGAAGAGGTTGAAGGAAGGGAATTGGCCCCACCATTGATTCGCGAACGGTGTCACTCGACCACGATATATCCCACTTCAGAAAGAACAATTTTTTCAACTTCGATTGTTATTGTCGAGGGTACGTTTTCTATCGGTTGCATCCCGTCGGAAACTAATCCTGACGTTGACTGGAAATTCGGGTCGTATGTCTCGGTTTTCAGGATCCGCTCTGTTCCCCTTTCACACTTTTTTTTCCAGAAGGTTTCATGCCAGAATGCCAGAAGGTTTCAGTTCAAAATTAGTTTCAGCGTAAAATTGGATGAACTTCCCATCTTCGTCGACCTTTGGTAAACCCTTTTAGCCTTTAAGAGTAGCATGTGCAAGAAACCCACTCTTCTAATTGCAAGTTCTGGTGAAAATTACTGGGGAAAAGGGAAAGCGCTAATTATTGCCACCGATGCTTGAAATTAGTATTTAAAAAAATACAAGGATTCCAATGCAGGAACTTAAGTTGCCATCGGGTATTAGATATAAGAATTACACGCACAATAAAACCGCCGCCTACAGATAGGCTGCGAGCATTTTTCGCAATACACTGTGAAGCCTATAGATAGGCGGCGTGGCACTATAAGGATTAAGACCACTCAAACGAGGATAAAATATGAGGATACGAAAGCGAAGTGGGAAAACCTTTTTACTAGATTGAATTTCTTGCGTCAGATGCAGATTGGTGTTCATCACATCCTCAGAGAGGTAACATATTTCGTCTACTAAATGAAAGTCATTGTGACTAAGTACAACGTACTGAACGATATAGAAAAATCTCATTAACTTCAAGACGAACAGAAGTTTCAATAAGCAGACAATATCACGAATTATCTTACAGCGGAATATATTCAATACTTACCAATGCGGAATTCCCTCAAATTGGGAGTCGCCCATTTCTCCAACTCCACACTCGTGATCTTATTGTTATCAAAGCGGAGTAATTCTAGGCTGTCGCTCTTGAAGGCCGGAACAAAGGTCAACAAATTGTTGTAGAGAAAGAGTTCCCTCAAATTGGGAGTCGCCCAATCGTGAAACTCCACACTCGTGATCTTATTGTCATTGAGACCAAGTAATTCTAGGTTCTCACATTTGAAGGCCGGAATAGAAGTCAATAAATTTTTGTAGAGTTGGAGTTTCCTCAAGTTGGGAGTCGACCATCCGTCCAACTCCACACTCGAGATCTTATTGTTATAAAGGTAGAGTCGTTCTATGCTGCTGCAGTTGAAGGCCGGGACAGAGGTCAACTTATTGTTGTAAATATAGAGTTCCCTCAAATTGGGAGTCACCCATTTCTCCAACTTTACACTCGTGATCTCATTGTTATAGAAGTAGAGTCGTTCTATGCTGTTGCAATTGAAGGCCGGGACAGAGGTCACCAAATTATTGTAGATATAGAGTTCCCTCAAATTGGGAGTCACCCATTTGTCCAACTCCACACTCGTGATCTTATTGCTATGGAGTGAGAGTCTTCCCAGGCTGTTGCTCTTAAAGGCCGGGACGGAGGTCAACAAATTTTTGTTGAGTTCGAGTTCTTTCAAGAGGTGGAATTCCGAAAGAATATGAAAGGGAAAGTCCTCTAGGCGGCTGTGGAAAATGCCAAGATGAGTCAGCTGATGTTGCAAAGGGAGTATGGCTGACGGGTTCACCTTCTTCACTGCGGTCTCACTTATCAATATCATCTGGAAGGAAAGCCCTCCGAAGAATCCTTCAGTGAGTTCAATCACTTTTGCATTATTTCTCATGAGGAATCTCCTGCAAGAAAAAAGAACAATGTGTGTACGTTTATCATTCCTAATTCGCTGATGAATATGTAGTTCTAAACCCATGCACATCAGGATTTATGGGATCTTCCCGAAATAGAGCCATGGAGATCTATTGAATTCCTGATTTCCCTTAGAGGGCGGCTAAACAGTTAACTACTCAAGTCCACAACTATATTAAGTTATGCTTTATAAATTTACATGGATGGTTTCTTTGGAAGATAGTATGACAGTGTCTCAAGATGACCATGTCTCTTATATGACGAAATATTTGAGGAAATAAAGTTCGAGGAAAAGCAATGGGAATTTTTCCCGGTAAAGCTCCAATCCAATCCTTTCCGATTATAGTGATTTTATGGCAGCTAGAATTCTTTCGAAAAAGGTTATGAGAATTTTGTAGGCACGCATAGTTCATCCATGAAGGAAGTTTTAAAGATTAATCATCTTTCAGAGAGCAACAAAATACCTTCCTTTCTGGGTTGCGACTAAAGAAGTCTTGGTGGCAGTTGGAAGAACGTGATACATTTTTTCATACTCTGGAGCAGCCGACCTTTCTCGTCCTCCTCCTCACGGACCTCCCTCTGATAACGCCCGCACGAGCTTCGGTGAAGGACTGATCTTCAACGGTTTCCTTATTTATCTGGTTTTCCCATCCCAAATTTACCCAAGGAGAAGGCTTAGGAAAATGCTTGTATCCGATGTCTAGGTCAATCCCATATGGGAGCAAAAACAGCGACCCTACATCATTGAGTTTTGAAAGTTCATATTTTCGTCATCTCTGAGGCTGAGAGTTTTCACAATATTCATGGGGTTTTGAAAATTGTTGAAGTGAAACTTAGGAAGGCAATGCGTCTCATATATCTAAGAGACATACAAGGAAACACCCCATTGCAAAAGTTTAAAATTCTTATTTGACGTAATTCAAGTACAGACATGAAAAGTAGATAAGGAAAGTAGCATATAACAGGAACTCTCTTGTATTAAAATCAGTTTGTCCATACCCTCTTCCTACGACGAAGCCAACTAGTGATCACTTCTACAGTTTAAAAAATCGATGGCAAGAACAGTTATTATTATTGCTTTGGTGACCACGTTCTTCACCCAATTGATGGATTCGCTCTACCTGTAGAGGAGGACATTTTCGAAATGTAGCGCATTCATACGAAACGATAGCGTTTCATCTTGCATGACAACTGCCGGTTCCTTTAATAAAAATAAAGTTCGGCCAATACTAGCCAAATCGCGTTGAACTCTTCGCTGTATATTTTTCTCGATTCCCACGATGCTACTGGGTGGTTCTGCAGTCGCTTTCACCCTGTCATCGATATTTTCCAGAGTACCAGCAATGTATAAGTAATTAAAGCATTAGTCGAGAGGATAAACCGTTATATCGCGCATTCACTGGAATACTTGCATGAGAAGCGAGAGAACTCCGTCCAAACGGTTCCCTTCTGACCCAAATCGTCTGTTTCGGGTCCCCATTGGGACTTGAACGAATGCGCACTCTGTGCACGAACTCCAGATTTTCATACTCGGGGGAAATTGAGAAGCGAGAGAACATCGTACAAACGGTTCCCTTCTGACCCAAATCGCCTGTTTCGGGTCCCCATTGGGACTTGAACGAATGCGCACTCTGTGCACGAACTCCAGATTTTCATACTCGGGGGAAATGTTACCGTTTCTCTTGGATATGGATACCGAGATGAGGTCAAAAAGGTAAAGCCCTTTAGAGCTAAGAACGTTTCAGGAAAGTTTTTGGAGAACTTCCAGGGGAAGTCTAGGTGTTCCATATTGATATCCGCTGGGTGAATCCTCCAGGAAAGATATCGACAATCATTTAGGACATCGTTTCTGAGAAATAAACGGCGACTAGCATGATTTCTATGATATGCGCACCCTGAAACTAACGCCTCTCTGCGCATATACATTTGTGCAATTAAAAAAAATTGCTTTTTACAATGCGACACGTTGGAGGATCTCTGTATGAGGAACGACTACTGACTTTTTCGTCATACATGAGGTTTTAAGATGATATTGACCTATAAATTAATTGAACCTTTTCCGCCGTGTGGGAGGTTCCCAATGACTGACTTTCACGAAATACTAGTATAATTTTTTCAGCTGGGCCCATTCGAGTTAGTTGCATTGAGCGTCGAATATATTGCTACCTGCATGCAATTCAATGTCTCTTGGGTAGTTGCAGCTCAAAGTTCAACTGTGCCCTGTTCATCTGCAGGTCCTTTTCGACTATTTAGAGGAACTATCGCCGGGGACGAGGTCTCCTACTTCTTTACTTCCTTTAGTATAGGGTAACTTTTGCAACGTAAACATAGTGCGTACGGAGAGAATGCGCTTTAATAACGTACCTAATAATGTACCTTTGCTTATAGGAATTCTTAGGGCCACCCCGTGGAATCCGATTTCTTACGTTCGGTCAGCCTCGCCATTCCCTCTAGAGAAGGAACAAGAACTTCATTGAAGGTGGGGCTCGGCACCGAGCTTTCGTCTCTCGAATATCCTTTTCTTAGGGCCACCCCGTGGAATCCGATTTCTTACGTTCGGTCAGCCTCGCCATTCCCTCTAGAGAAGGAACAAGAACTTCATTGAAGGTGGGGCTCGGCACCGAGCTTTCGTCTCGGTACCGGGGTGACTCCGTGACTAGTTTTGGGTGCCGAAGGGAAAGTCGAAGAGAAGAGAATATTTACTCACCAGAGTTGAGTGTATGACCAGGATGCATTCTTCAGTGCTGAGGAAATCTCTGCACCAGAGCTGGCCGACGAACAATCCACTGTCACAGCTTCAGACCCATTGTAGCACTGGCAGGGAAATATGTCACGGGTGGGGCAGGTCTGCTTCATAATCCCAGACAAAGAGGAGGGGAAGAAAAGGAAGAGGGCTGTCGCTAATGTATTCATGATAAAATTGCCTATCGGGGGACAGCTGCTAGAGGTCCGTGATTTTTGGTATTTTTTGAGGTCTTCTTAGGCGACGGATGTTGCTCCCCTTGAGTGTGGCATGGATTCCTGTTGGAACGGAAGGATACTTCATATGCAGCTACAATCAGAGTGGAATTGCTCATGCACGAGTTTTACAGCATGTGAAGCCAATGTGAACTGCACGTGAACTCATATCTCTTTATTTTCAAATTCCAACTTCGTATATGAACAGAACGGAGCGAACACTTTTTTAAAGTGGTATCACTGAATGCCTCGAAGGTGACGTTATTCATGTGGTTCTGCAACAAGAGACCTTACCACGCGTGACTGACATTGTGACATCGAAATTGAAAACATATGCATGAAATTCCTTCTCAATTCCGCAAAGTTCACATAGTGTGTTTCACTGTCCCATTATTGTGTTTATTATCAATGTGATGAGCTGTGATAGCTAGACATATTTACATGACACCATATTGTCATGTTTTCTGTAAGTTTTCTCAATTCGAGCTTCTTTGAGAGAGGGAGGAAAAAGTGATGGATTTACATTTATACACGAATATGGGCGTATTTGGAAGCAAATGAAAACGGGGAAGATGAGAACGAGTATCTATCATTCCTTAAACTTGAGCTTCGCAAACTGTCCTAACCGTGAAGTAATGTGCAATAGGAACTACTATTCAATACTTGTCAGTGCAGGTGAAGCAATTAAGACTGATCATAGGAAAAACTTAGTTAACGGAAAATGGGAAAATATTTTTTGTAAAATGAAACAACATAGAAACTTGATGATGGCTTCTCCCAAATATACATTTCTTTTGACACACAGGCAAGATAACCATTCTGGCACAGTTTCGCTTCAGCAAAAAAAAAAATTAAGGAGAAACGTCACTCATAAACACATATGCCAAAAGACCCCAAAATAGTATTATTCCTGAAGTCAGCAAGCCATGAACTTCGCGTTTTCCGGGTTTTAGCTTTCCATCCTATGGGGAACATTCTAAGAATTAGCGTCAGTGAGTCTCCCACGATCATCTTCGTGGATGAGCTTTGATGATGGTTCTGGCATCCTCATTTCGATTCCTCGGATCAATTGCAAGGGTTTTAGTGATTCTGACGATTATGAAATATGAGGCAGTACTTATAGAGAATAGCTCTTTAGGAATTGGTTTGCATGGCGATGGATGACATAGACATAGTGACTCCGTGAATTATTATAGGCCAAATCTGATGAAACGAAATCATAGGAGGACATCATCCTGCCAAGGACGGTGCTTCCTAATCACTGCCTTCATTTGCCTTTGAGACCCCTGGGGCTTGAATTCTTGAAGTGGCTTTGAAGGTGGTCCATTGAGAAGCGAGAGAACTCCGTCCAAACGGTTCCCTTCTGACCCAAATCGTCTGTTTCGGGTCCCCATTGGGACTTGAACGAATGCGCACTCTGTGCACGAACTCCAGATTTTCATACTCGGGGGAAACGTTACCGTTTCTCTTGGATATGGATACCGAGATGAGGTCAAAAAGGTAAAGCCCTTTAGAGCTAAGAACGTTTCAGGAAAGTTTTTGGAAAACTTCCAGGGGAAGTCTAGGTGTTCCATATTGATATCCGCTGGGTGAATCCTCCAGGAAAGATGTCGACAATCATTTAGGACATCGTTTCTGAGAAATAAACGGCGACTAGCATGATTTCTATGATATGCGCACCCTGAAACTAACGCCTCTCTGCGCATATACATTTGTGCAATTTAAAAAAATTGCTTTTTACAATGCGACACGTTGGAGGACCTCTGTATGAGGAACGACTACTGACTTTTTCGTCATACATGAGGTTTTAAGATGCTATTTACCTAAAAGTTAATTGAACCTTTTCCGCCGTGTGGGAGGCTCCCAATGACTGACTTTCACCAAATATAATTTTTTCAGCTGGGCCCATTCGGGTTAGTTGCATTGAGCGTCGAATATATTGCTACCTGCATGCAATTCAATGTCTCTTAGGTAGTTGCAGCTCAAAGTTTAACTGTGCCCGGTTCATCTGCAGGTCCTTGTCGACTATTTAGAGGAACTATCAGGCCCCTGCTCCAGAGGATGAAGAAATGAAGGAAATCATATCCCATTGAAAACGTTGCATTTGTATCACGCATGCCTCTCTTACGCGAAATTATTGCATGGATTATTACATGGAAACGAATATCCTTTTCTTAGGGCCACCCCGTGGAATCCGATTTCTTACGTTCGGTCAGCCTCGCCATTCCCTCTAGAGAAGGAACAAGAACTTCATTGAAGGTGGGGCTCGGCACCGAGCTTTCGTCTCAGTACCGGGGTGACTCCGTGACAAGTTCTGGGTGCCGAAGGGGAAAGTCGAAGAGAAGAGAATATTTACTCACCAGAGTTGAGTGGATGACCAGGATGCATTCTTCAGTGCTGAGGAAATCTCTGCACCAGAGCTGGCAGACGAACAATCCACTGTCACAGCTTGCCACCCATTGTAGCACTGGCAAGGAGATATGTCACGGGTGGGGCAGGTCTGCTTCATAATCCCAGACAAAGAGGAGGGGAAGAAAAGGAAGAGGGCTGTCGCTAATGTATTCATGATGAAATTGCCTATCGGAGGACAGCTGCTAGAGGTCCGTGATTTTTGGTATTTTTTGAGGTCTTCTTAGGCGACGGATGTTGCTCCCCTTGAGTGTGGCATGTACTCCTGTTGGAACGGAAGGATACTTCATATGCAGCTACAATCAGAGTGGAATTGCTCATGCACGAGTTTTACAGCATGTGAAGCCAATGTGAACTGCACGTGAACTCATATCTCTTTATTTTCAAATTCCAACTTCGAATATGAACAGAACGGAGCGAACACTTTTTTAAAGTGATATTAATGAATGCCTCGAAAGTGACGTTATTCATGTGGTTCTGCAACAAAAGACCTTACCACGCGTGACTGACATCGGGATTG